GCCCTAGAGTCGGTTCCAACTCACAGTGACCCTGTGTACAACAGAATGAAACACTGCCTAGTCCTGTGTCTTCCTCACAATCATTGTTATGTTTGAGCCCATTGCTGTGGCCACTGTGTCAATCCATCTTGTTGAGGGTCTTCCTTTTTTTTGATGACACTCTACTTTACCAAGCATGATGTCCTTCTCCAGGGACTGGTCTCTCCTGATAACATGTCCAAAGTAAGTGAGATGAAGTTTCGCCATCCTCGTTTCTAAGGAGCATTCTGGCTGTACTTCTTCTAAGACAGATTTGTCCATTCTTCTGGCAGACCATGGTATAGTCAGTATTCTTCGCCAACACCATAATTTGAATGCATCAATTCTTGTTCGGTCTTCTTTATTCATTGTCCAGCTTTCACATACATATGAGATGACTGAAAACACCATGGCTTGGATCAGGTGCACCTTAGTCCTCAAAGTGACATCGTTGCTTTTAAACACTTTAAAGAGGTCTTTTGCTGCAGATTTCTTGACTGCTGCTTCCATGACTGTTGACTGTGGATCCAAGTAAAATGAAACCCTCCACATGCATAAAGGTTACTAATGCAGGGTTTGTCTTCACTTGTGGATGATGGTTTACTGCTGTTCATTTCTCTATTTACTATCAGTCTTCTTTCCATCACAGCCAATTTTTTTCCAGAAAGAGGAGTCTGTATCTAATATGAGCTCAGATTTTGCTGTCTTGCAGTAGATGCTGGCTTGGTGATGGAGGTAATTTTAAATAGTTAAACTTTTGACTACTAGTGGTTCGAACTCACTCAGACTGCTTGGCAGTTTGAACCCACTCATAGGTGCCTTGGAAGACAGGCCTAGAGATCTGTTTGCAAAAGGTCACAGTCTTGAAAACCCTATGGAGCAGTTCTACTCTGCCCACATGGGGTCGCCATGAGTCAGAATCTATTAGTCAGCAACTAAAAACAGCAATAATAGGATACAGAAGGGAGCAGTGGTGGTTTAGTTGTGGTTCAGTGGTAGAATTCTCAGCTTCCACACAGGAGACCCAGTTCAATTCTCAGTCCCTGCACCTCGTGCACAACCACCACGTGTCTGTGTGTTGCTATGGTCCTGAGCAGGTTTCAGTAGAGCTTCCAGACAGAGGAGGAAAAAAGGCCTGGTTGATCTACTTCCAAAAACCACCCTACGGATCACAACGGTTTGTTCTGCAACTGATCATAGGGATGGTACACGACCGTTTCCTTTCTATTGTGCATGGGGTGCTATGAGTCGGGGACAACTCAATGGCAGCTAACAACAACAGGATATAGGAAGAAATTGATGCCTTACCCTCCTTCTTCTTCTCTTTTGTCTTAGGCTTCAGGTGGTTTTCTTCTGGGACATTGGAGGGGCAATAAACTATGTGATTGAAGGAGTTTAGCAAAAAGTCATAGAACGATGGGAGAATCTCTGGAATTGGAAGTAGCAGAAGGTAATTGGGGATGTGTTGTGCAGGGAAAGTCAGCTTATAGATACAACCAAGCCACGAAAGAACTTGGTTCCCTGAGCCTCAGATGCCAGCCTTCCCAAACGAGAAGGTCTCCTCTCAAATCCCAACACTCCATGGAGATAGATTTGACCTAGAGCTGGGGCAACATGGTCAGAATCAGGCCAGAGATGATTCCAAGACTGGTAGATTGTAGTAGAAGGTAGAGCTCATCTGAGAGTGTTGGGTGGGGCAAGGAAAAGAACAGGTAGGACATTACAGTTCTTAGAATTATCCCATCACCTTAAAATAGGTAGATGTTGGGGGCCTTAGATAATTATAGCTGTAAACCTTATGTTTATCTTATCTGCCACTCACTGAATTCACTATGCAGTGTAAGTTGACAGTCGTCATTGGATTTTGATGTGGAACTTAAAGGCATTAAGTGTTATTTCTGCTATTAGTTATAGCCATCCTAGATTAATAGGTGACTAAGAATACAGAAAGATTTAGAATTATTTAAAGGTTCACATTCTGGTTGAATATTATCTCACTTTTAAATATAAAATTAGAAATCAAAAGAAGGATCTTTAAAACTAATAAGTGTATATTAAATTTTAAATGTACTCCAAAAACTCCTAAATTCCACAAGTGTTTCTTGCCCTTAGACAGTTCACAAGGGGGCGGGTCACTGATCAACTATCTCCTTGAGCAGTTGTATAATTTTGGCAGCTGCCTCTTACTAGCCACATTTTTTGAAAATTCCTCAGAGCCAAGAGTATCTGGCAAGAGGAGTCAAAATGCTGCTGGTGTCCAGGAATTGGATTTGTTACAAACGGAGATGTTCCAGCTCTCTGAATTTCCCAGCTCCATTGTTAGAGAAGTATGATAAATGGATCGAGTGTGTCTGCCCTTGTGAACTGATTAAGTTTCAAACAGCTTTAAAAATGACAGGAAGCCAGTTTTCTCTGGCTAAGTCTTGGGTAGCATAGATGAGTCTATAACTGAACCCTAGAAATAAGGGAAGGCATGTTAAGAGGCTTTTCCTAGGGATTTCTGCCTTTCAAAGCAGAGGCAAAAGCTCTTTCATTTGAATATGAAATGTTCATGATCACGAACATGATCTCTTTGGAACTATTCATACTGCAATTAGTATTCCAGGGCACAGAGTGAAAATTCCAGGAATATTGTGCCATTAAAGCAAATGTGCTTAAAGAATCCACTTGAGGCTTTTCTGATGATGATTCTTGTAGTTGGAGGACTTTTCTACTTTGTATCTTCCTTTTACCCGCTCTAACTTGGTAGGGAGCCAGTTAAGGGGGCAAACTGAACCCTCAGCTCTTCAAATGCAAGGGTGATTCAACATTAGAAAATTAATCAATGCAATACACCACATTAATAGAACAAAGGAAAAAAAAAAACCCACACAATCCTCTCAATTGACACAGATCAGGCATTTGACAAAAACAACACTCAAATCCCTCAACATGATAAAGGGCATTTATGAAAAACCCACAGCTAGCATTAAACACAATGGTGAAAGCCTGAAAGCTTTTCATCTAAAATCAGGAATAAGACAAGGATGTCTGCTTTCACCTCTGCTTCTCAACATGGCACCGGAAGATCTAGCCAGTGTAATTAGGTAAGACAATGAAGAAGAAGAGGGAAAAGGTATCCAAATTGGAAAGAGAGAAATAAAACTATCTCTATTCACAGATGACGTGATCATATAGAAAATCCCAAACTCCACAAGAAAGCTACTAGAGCCAATGAAAGAATTTGGCAATGTCACAGGACCAACACAAAAAGTTGTGTTTCTATTCACTAGCAATGAAGTCTGAAAAGGAAATCAAGAAAGCAATACCGTTAAGATAGCATCAAAAAGAATAAAATAGCTAGGAATAAATTCACCATTTAAAAGTAACCTTTTTCTTGTTTCAGTGTGAGTTTAGTTGTTGCAATCCTACCTTTCAGAGTTCTTACAGAGTTGAGACTACAGAATTCTAACTGCTTTTCTTTGTTCTCACACGGCAGAGTCGAGATTTGAGAACTGCTCAGGCTGCCATCTTTCGAGAATCCCTCTGAACTTTTTTTTTTTGTAGTAAGACTACTATGTATATAATCTAAAACTGTAACGAAAATGACAAAATAGGCATTTGTGATATTAGCAGAAAATTTCATCATAAATTCTGCACATAAAAATATGTCTTCAATGTCTCCCATCTATACGAATTCATAAATACTCCTAACACAGCTCTCAAATAGAAGGAAGAGAAACATTTTGGTTAAACAAATTTAAAATGAACCATTGTTCTACTCTTTTTATTTATTCTGAGTTCAAAGTTAGGATGGATTATAAACCATCATTTATGCTTTTAAATATTTTGGTAATTTTTAAGCATCCTGATGCTGAGCTGCCTAACTATTCACCTACTTCCTAACCAAAAATACTTTAATTCCTAAAACAGGTTTGATGTGTTTAAGTTAGCCTGTAGGTTGATTTTTAAGTTATACTTTACTTTTCTGGACTTTTCTCTTATTACTCCATTAAAATGAAACAATTTGATCTAAACCAATGCAATAAACAAAAACTTAAATGTATTCCCACATATGCCTATGATGAGCACAGAAGGGAGAATGAGATTCAAAAAATTAATTGACTTTGTTGTGGAGAGAAAGACTACAGACCCAATTTTAAAATATGGCTTTACTCATTATCTGCCTGTAGGGAGAAATGAGGGAATTGCTTCCCAGCCAGAAGTCTATCATATCTCAGTTCTTACATCCACCTTATGCATTCTCATTCTCTTTTATATGTGAGTATAACTGAAGAATACAAATATCCCATCTTCCTCTCCAACACAGACAACACATACCCACCCCTTAGGAGTTGCTTTGTGATCCACCAAGGAGAGAGGAACTGTACTCAAGTAAATTTCTACAGATTATCTGAAATGTAAAGGCCTATTTGTAAATAAGTCAAATATATATTTGAATACAAGAAAAGTCACGGTATCTGTTCAGAAAAACGAAGGGGAGTAGGACAATGAAGATTTGTGAGGGGATCATAATGTTTGATCAAGGGAGTACAAGTCAGAGGTTTTTTTTTTTGATAGTTAAATTCTGTTAATTCTGGAAAGCTTCATCTCCCCATCACCTTAAGGTCCTAAATGGAATTTTGGTGTAAACTGGTTCCATTGCTAGAACTCTGAGAGGCCTCTGTGTGTTGGCTCCTGGTGAGAAGAAGTCAATGCAGCTTCCAGGTAAAGATAAACTGCATGGACTTGCCAAAGCAAATGCTCTGTAAATTCCTCTGAGGATGTAAGGGGAGAAATATTGCTATTGCACCTGCACATTAGAAACAACAAACACTATTTAATTAAAACAGAATTACTTAGTTAACAGTAGTATGAAACTTATCATTTCACAGTATTTGCACAAATAAAGGATGTGCCAATGAACAGTGCCTTTCTAAAATGTCTCTGTGATTCTTATCAAATCACACTTTTCCTCATTTTTTTTTTTTTCATTTTAAAAGAAAATTGGCCCTGAAACACCATCCAGACAAGAATCCAGATGACCCAACGGCTGCTGAAAAATTTAAAGAAATCAACAATGCCCACACAATACTTACTGACATGTCAAAGAGAAACATATATGACAAGTATGGATCGCTGGGACTCTATGTGGCCGAGCAGTTTGGAGATGAAAATGTTAATACCTACTTCATGCTGTCAAGCTGGTGGGCAAAGGTGAGTCAGATTATTTTTTCTTCAAAAACCATTTCCTGGAAGACCATGGACTTATTGACTCTGCTAGGCTCCATCTCAAATATAGTCTAACTTGGTTATTATTAAACTCTTGCAAAAAAAAGGAGATAATGCTTCCATCAAAAGCTGTTATTTGAAGATCGTTTTTGCTTTAGCTGTTCAGATAATTCTGAAATACAGCATGACTTAAAATACTTCTGGTCATTAATTACATTTGAAGCTGGAGCTTCAGGTTAATTCTGACTGCCCTCCCTCCCCCACCCCGGTAATGACTAATTAAAAACTGACTCATTGCTCAAAACCAAAAATAATTTATTAGTATGACAACTGTTTAATAAATAATAAATGAATGTAGAATAAATTTAGCCAGTTCTTAACTATCTCTAGCATAGTCTACATCAGCTATAACAATCCTTGGGATTAATGTGTGGTCACGGTCTCACAGGCTCACATGAGCCTGCTGTGAGGTCATGGAGAAGGAAAGGAGGGGGAAGGGTGAGACTTAAGTAATAGAGGACAGGAAGTTGGAGAAAGACAGAGAGAGAAAATGGACACCTGTCAGTAAAGAGGCAACATTTTTAAGGACTTTATGCACAAAGAATTGACTTTTGTACAGTAAATTTTGTTTGGTTTCCTAGGAATCCCTAGTACGTTTGGTGATGGTTTTATATTTGTGTATGAGTTTTAATATCTTTTTCTTCTGATAAAAGTATACTTACATATGCACCAGACATAAAGTCCATCAGCATATTTTGTGGATCGTTTGCCTCACATTCATATGCATTGTAATTAATAATGATAATAGAAACAAACAGCCACAAAGACAGGTTTTATATTCAATAGTATTCTGGTTGTTATTTTCTGCCACTAACATAAATCTTGCTAAATTGAAGAGTTTCTTTTCTGCAGGAAAAGAGAGAAAGTATTTTTGTACATGAGCATGGAGAGAGTCTGTAACCTAAAGCCTCATTTGCTTTTTGCAGCCACCAGCATTCTTTTTCCGGGGGATACCTGGGGTCTTTCTGAAATCTTCCCTTTCTCCTCTTTCACAGTAGTTGAAGACTTGGGAAGGAGACAAGTTCCTGCCAAGTAGGGTTGGAACTTGGAACGAGAGTGTATATACCGACAATGTCATTTATGATGACAGACTGAATGTTCATATCACAGTATAGGCTTTGGTGGGCCTGCCTGGGAACTGAACCACCAGGCATGATGCTCTTTCCATGGGAAGGTACATCTAGAGTACCAGGTAGTTGCACACAAGCACCTGATTGTATATTGGGGCTGTGCACATATAAATGAGAATAGGTTTTCTTGCCAAGGAAGTTGACAAAATTGACCAAAATTCATATAGACTGCAGAAGCTGTCCACTAGTGTAAGAGATATCCAAAATAATTCCTGATGTGAATATTGAAAAATAAGACTGCAAAAAATACACCTTGCCCTTCTGCTTGTGCCAAAGCCCAATTTCATGACCCGTTACAGTGAGCTGGCTCATGGTGATCACTTATTAAACATATTACCTGAACAAATCAGTGCACCATCAAAAAAATGTACTTAAATTACTCCAAACAAGCAGAAGAAAGGAAATAATAAAAATCAGAGCAGAAATCAACAAAATTGAAAACAGGGATACAATCCAGAAAATCAATGAAACCAAAAGCTTGTACTTTGAAAAGATCAATTAAATCTATAAATGTCTAGGCATACTAACCAAGGAAGTGGGGACAAAGACGGAGACAAGACACATTCACGCACACACAAAATGTATTAAAAAATATCAGACTTGTGCCTGGTACTGTTCCTTGTTGTTAGTTGCTGTTGAGTGGATTCTGACACATGACAACTCCATGTGTGCAGAGTAAAACTGTTCCATAGGGTTTTCAAGGCTGTAACCTTTCAGAAGCAGATCTCCAGGCCTGTCTTCTGAGGTGCCTCTGGGTGGGTTCCAATCTTTCAGTGAGTAGTTGATTGCTTAACTGTTTGTGCCACCTAGGGACTCCTAATACTGTGATAAGCAGTGTAAGGAATGAAGTAAGGTCATTTTATGCAATAAGCAGACAATCTAGTTGGGAGAGTTAAAAATAAAAATATATGAATGACAAGAAAATTTTCAGAGAAGAGAATAGCTTAGGAATTGGATAAGGGAGGAGCATCCTGGGGCTATGGCTCGGGAGTGCTGCGCAGGAAGGTTTTGGAGGCAGTTGGTGAGGAGAGTCTTGAAGTTTTTTTTTCAGAATAATTGACCTAAGACTATGAAAACATAGGAAAGCACCACAAAGAGATTAGAGGTGTCAGAGTCATAACTAAAACTTAACCGCCCAAGTCACCCTGGGCTCCACTCACAAATGGGGCCAGGTTGAATAGATGGGGTCCTGGGCCAGGATTGCCAACGTGGAAGATTTCTACCATGAATTATTAAAGAACTTCACACACACCTAGGTGGTCTTTATCCTCTTGCCCCCAGGGACAGACAAAATCTACATTTGGATTCAAAGACTTGTGAGCCACTTTCTTTCTGTCTCAAATAATATATTTTAAATAAAATCATGAATTGATTTTTCTGGATTCACAAAAAATTGCCTTATTATAACTTCAGGTTGGGGGAGTCAGGAAAGTTTCTTTTAATCTTTAGCTACAGCAATTTTATTGAGTGTTATGGATTGAAATGTGTCCTTCCAAAATGTGCGTCAACTTGGTTAGGCCACGATTCCCAGTATTGTGTGACTGTCCACCATTCCATCATCTGATATGATTTTCCTGCGTGTTGTAAATCCCACCTCTATGATGTTAATGAGGCAAGATTAGAGGCAGTTATGTTAATAAGGCAGGACTCAATCTACAAAATGAGGTTGTATCCTGAGTCAATCTCTTTTGAGATAAAAAAAAGAGAGAAGTGAGCAGAAAGACAAGGGGACCTCATACCACCAAGAAAGAACTGCCGGGAGCACAGCGCATCCTTTGGACCCAGGGTCCCTGCGCTGAGAAGCTCCTGACCAGGGAAAGATTGATGACAAGGACTTTTCCCCAGAACCAATAGACCAAAACCAAAACCAAACCTGTTGCCGTCGAGTCGATTCTGACTCACAGCGACCCTATGTGACAGAGTCGCACTTGGTAACTACCACAGCATTTCCAAGGAGAACAAATAGAGAAAGAGAGAAAGCCTTGTCCAGGAGCTGGCACCCTGAATTTGGACTTCTAGGCTCCTAGACTGTAAGAGAATAAATTTCTGTTTGTTAAAGCTGTCCACTTGTGATATTTCTGTTATAGCAGCACTAGATAACTAAGACAGCAAGCAAATATTTTTTGTTTGTGGGGAAATCCTGGTACAATTTAGTAGGAAAAACAAATTGTTGATCTGTTCATTACTCTGAAGCCCTGGTGGCACAGTAGTTAAGAGCTACGGCGAGCTATGGCTGCAAAACAAAAAGGTCAGCAGTTCGAATCCACCAGCTGCTCCTCAGAAACCCTCTGGGGCGGTTCTACTGTGTCCTATAGGGTTGCTATGAGTCAGAATCGATTCAATGGCAACGGGTTTTATTCATTACTTTATACATTCATTAACTCATTAGGCATTTTTTAAGTGTCTACCACACGCCGGGCACTAAATTCTTAGCAAGAAGGGATTCAAACATGAATAACACATAATTTTAGCCTAGACTATCTTCGCTCAAGGGCCCTGTCGGCACAGTGGGTTAAGAACTCTGCCGCTAACTGGAAAAGGTAGGCAATTTGAACCCACCAGCTG